CACAATGAGACTCTCCAATAATCAAGGTACTAAGGTTGTGGTGACCAGTAAACATGAAACTAACATTTTTGCCAAATAAGATGGAGCCTGAGACTCACAGATGCAACAGGTCGATACCATGGGGATCCAATGCTTAGGTTCTCTGTGGTGATACTTAAAACATCTTTTCAAATCCCCAAAGGTGACCACAGGTCCAGAATGATTGGTGAGAACTAAAGCTGGACTGAGGCTGAGCTCATTTTCAATGTTTATTATGTAGACAAATTTTATATGTTCAACAGAACTTTCTCCTATGGAAGTGCAGACAAAAATGTTTCGTACGGAATACTGGTGGTTGATGGCAGTGGTGTTGGTGGTGGTGAATCTCAAAGATGGTGGCTGAAAGTCTTTAAGTTTTCAGATTTTTAACTTGCAGTTTTAGAGGTGATGAATGTTCGTATTTTCTTCTTTGCATACAAGCAAAGCCTAAGTCCCAACAAGTGTCATTTTGGAGTGGAGTTTAACAGTTGTGCTGTTATTCCTATTCAAGACAGACCAGAATGTCCCTCAGTAACCATGTGATATGACCACATCACAGATTGTCCACGCAGCATGGTCCTAATTTGCTTAGCTATATACCAAGCTATTGCCTGAAGAAACGGTTTGGATTCTTTTTTAAGGAAGGGAAAATTAAAAATACTTGATATCTTGTAAAAATGTAAGTTAAAGAGTAAGATGCTGCATGAGGCTGGGAAGCCAAGGGTTTTACTTCAGCTGTATTAGAAGTTTTAGTTGCACCAAAACTGTAAGTTGTTCTTACATTTGTTTGCTGGACTTGTCCAGGACAAACAAGTTGATTTTCACCTTGAATCAGCATGATGGTACTTATACCTTTCGGCCATTTTACTCTTTGCATGATAATTATAAATTGCCAGCTATAACTGCATGGCAATACAAGAATTGAAACATTTGTTAGAATCTAGGTTAGCAACCCTTATTTAGAATTTCAGAGCTTCTTGAGTTATCAGATATTTATTTAAAACATTTATAACCATCTATACTAGCAAGTCTCAAGAGAGCATACAACGTAGCATCACAGTTAAAATACAATATGAAACATATAATAAAATCCAACCATTAAAATACCAATTAAACCTTAAAATACTGGGCGAATAAAAAAGTTTTGGCATGATGCCATAATAAATAAAGCAGCTCTGGAGCATGTTCCAGAAAAGGCCCTTCTCCAGGTAACCACTCTTTTGACTTCTTCAAAGAGGACTCCTGAAAAAGTACCTTGGAGGAAGGTCTTAAGACTCGGGCAGGTGTATAAGGAAGGAGGTGCTCCTTCAGATACCCAGGACCTAAACCGTTAAGACTGAAGCTGAATAGCTACATTAGCTTGCAACTTATGTTCATGAATAACTATTTTCAGTGAAAGAATATGATACACAGGGTGGTATCCCCCCCCCCCCCCGAAAAAAAAAAAAAAAAGAATTGGAGCAACCCACTTGCAACCCAGTGGTGCCCTTCATTATCATTCATTTATAATGAGGTAACAGATTTTAGATTACGTTTCATTCAGCAAAAGCAGATGTTCTGAATATGCTAAACACCACAGCATCTTTTTAATATGGGCTTATTTAAGTTGGCCTATTGTTGGAGCTAATGCTTCTCTTATTTGTGTGTTTGGCAATGCCCAGTGGCAGCTTCCTTTTGGAAGGCATTAAAAATCAGATAAATTGTGTGAGGAAAAGTTCTTTAACATTCAGCATGTCCTCCCTTATTACTTACCCTTTTTGTGGAATTTAATGTAAGGTCAATGCAAATAGGCTTCCCATGCCTTTTTCACAGATAAAAAACTAATAGTATATCACTAGAATGATTATCAACCAACACAATAGATTAAATATTTAATGAAACTCTTGATTTTCTGAATGGGTGGTCTTAATATATCATTTAAGAATGGTTAAATATGTGGATATTTCAGCTGTCTTTGGAGAATTTTAGACATTTTTAAAAATAGTAGTGTGTCTTGCTACATGCAAATATAGAGATATATAAAATGCACATATTTTATATTATGGATTTCACTGAAACTTATGTTAAAAACCTGTAATGTTTTATATTACTTTTTTCTTTTGTTTTTCCACTGGTCTGTTTAGGTTTTGTTTTGGAACACACAATAATGTTAAAAATGTTATTCCCACATTAGGAGGTTATCTTTGGCATTCTCTTCTTGGTGAGAAAGCACTTAAACAATCTACATTTTGCATTCAGTTGGACATTAGCAGAATGATTTGTTGATTTTCAGTTCAAAAAACAGGTAGGTGAAGTTGCACTGGGACTTGACATATTTTCCCACAGGTAAAAATCTTCATTGAGTTGCTAGTCGAGAACCTAACAAGCTGATTCTGCATATAGCTAAAACAGGTAATGTGCAGCCTTCTCTACTGGGATTACATTCTTATTCGCATTTGCTTGAGAGAATCGCCATTAACTCTGTCTTGCTTACTATTGAGTAAATATGCATGGCATTGTATTGCACATGTTTTCTTCGGGAAAGCTAAAGGGAATTAATCAAGCATACAAATAGAAATCCAACTAAAAGCACAAGGTCTAACTAAATGACAGAATTTTAGCTTCAATAAACCATACTTGAGGAAAGTAGTAATTGACTTAAAGTGGAGACCCAGGCCCAAACTAGATCTGACATTTGTACTTTAGATTAGCTTTGCATAGTTGATTTTTTAACATAATACATTGCTGGGATGTGTATGCATTTCCCTAAACTGGAGTCTTGACTGGAATCAAATATTTCTCCTTCCTCATGTCAGCATTCTGCAATCTGAGAAAAGATTCCTGGTGCTGTTCTTTCACTGTTTATAGGAGCAGTGGGGCAAAAAGTTATAGCTCATCTCCCCATGCCAAAATGAAGTATCTTCCTGTAGCGCGCGCGCGCACACACACGCGCACACGAGGCCACACATTTTTTAAGAAAATCAACTATGTATGGCTAAACTAAATGGCGAATGCCATACCTTGGTTGACCCTCAGAAGTCCCAGATATGCAGACGAACTCAGTACATGTCCCGCTATCATCCTTGCTGCTGTTTTCCTTCTCATCACTGTTACCAATTTGGTGGAGAGTTGCATATCCTTCATTAGTGATTGTGTCAGAAGCTTCCTGCTGTACTTAGTAAAATCCTCTGTGATTTGTATTCTTTCGCAGTTCAAACAAAAAACCCAGTAAATTTATTATAAAAATAGGGAGGAAAAAAAGCCCTGCTATTAAGAATTTCCACATTTGGAAGCCTTACAGCATCTTTTTCGAGCAACTTATTTATTTTGCTTTCACGATGTGTTCCTTGATGCTAGTTGGTATTCAGGAAATGTTTCTAGTCAGGCTGAAGTTTAGATCTTATTGAAAACTAAGTCAAGAATCCAGCTTTCTGTGCATCTTACAAGAGAGTCAAGAGAGTCTACCAGCTTGTTGCTAATTGTTTGACTGCATGATCCTTAGCATTTAACTGCATCCTCATATATAAATTGATTTCAAATGTTAGACCATTGCATTGTTCTGTTGGCCTTCTCATGTTACCTTAAGCAACCTATATTTCTCCTACTTGTATGAAGTGGCTCCACACTGAAGTAACTGATTCTATCACGCTCAGCAGTTTTATGAAATGTTCACTATGCAATATTAGATCTGTATGTGTGCAGGAAATATTTTTGTTGCTACTTTTGAGAAAATGAGTTTTCTACTATTTCCCTTGCATGCACAGACACACACACACACATGTGCATGTAAAATATAATATGAACAATACGATTCATCCATGCTTACATAGCATCATTAAATATCTTTAATGGTAATATAGAATACATTTCTCCTTTATGATTTTCACAAACAGTTATGGTAGTGTTCAGTTTAACAGAAACATTACTGGATTGTGAAAATGCTCACAATGCTTCTGCATTAGTTGTTACAGCTGAATGTATTAACTTAGGATCAACCCAAACATCACCTGCAATTAAGTAGTAGCATGTAGCTATGTTGTGGGGTTTTCCTTATTCAAAAGTAAGTTCATAAGAACTGATCTGGACTGGAACCTTGGCAGGAAAATTGTAATCCTCTATTTTCAACTGTGTTCCTCATCCAGATGTGCACTGCATCTGCATTTGCACATAACCTCAATGGGAGCTTTCATATGTAAATTGTACATGCAGGTCCTCCATCTGACCTGAAGCAGTTTTATGCTCACTAGTAGATGGCACTAACAACATGAATCAAGATCCAGGTTCAATTGTTTGCTTAGAATTTAAGATACTTAGTAAACTATCTTCCTCCAGAAGCTTGTTTTATGCTTACTTGTCACACCACATATGCCAATCCTTGCATCTGTGTGAACGTACTGAAGACTCTCCTTTACTCATATGATGAACTCTTGTATGTGTTAGAAAATATCCACTTATTTTAAAAAGCAGAAAATCTTGTATTTACTGAAAGAAAGTACATTTGCTAGTTGCTCCCAAAGAAAAAGCAATTACTATCTGACATGCAGTTATTGAAAGCTACTTCCCGGACTGACCACTTAGTTAACTGTGGGATTCAGCAACTAGAAAGGTTTTTTTTTTTTTTTAAGGTAATCCATTTGTTTTTTTGCAAGCATCATATTTTCAAAATCTGATTGGTGTAGCATAGACTATCACTGCATTGCCTGACTCTTGGTTAATTTACCAACCCAGCCCACATGTTGGAATAATCTTGGGATTGACATGAATATGGGGTCCACCTCACTTTGGAATGATAAGGCAGGCCCATCCTGCCACCTGGATGGGAGGCAGGACCCTGGTTTACCTTAGTAATCCTTACAGGACACCCATAAAAAACCATTATTATCAACTTATTTGAGAAGGCTGTGGTGTGAGCCATAGAAACATAAAGCAATTTAGAGTGGAATTCTACCACTTTAAAGTGGAATTCCAATGCCCTACCAGAAAAGGCTGAGCAGGGTGGGATGATGACATGGGATGAGAAGATAACTAAGTGGTCAGTCGAGTAAGTGAATATTTATGGTTTCCCATTCTTCTAATTTAGTTACTTCAGCTACATTGGCATTGGTGCTACATGTGCCTTACCTCAGTGGTCAGGGACAGGAATGGAGAGGCTTGTGGATCTAGTGAACCCCCCCCCCCCACTATCCCACTCTCTTTTTCCCTTTCCTGGCCCTCTTCCAAGACCTAGGAAGAGGAGTTGCCACAGACCTACCCACAATGTAGAGATGTTACTGTACTCACCACATCGTGGGTAGGTCTGTGGCAATCTTAGGATTCCCCCCAACACACAAGGCTGTAGCAGCGTCTTTACCCTCCTAGGAATCCTAAGATTGTTCTATTAATGAATTTATGGCTGTGATGAATTTTGAACTAGGGACTGTTTAGTACACAACACACAGAATTCATCAGTATATGATACTATTATTTGGATGTGGAACCAATTAAAGATACTAAAATACAGTTCACATGAAAGAACATACTATACTACTTCCTTTTTGTAAACTTATTTCAGCAACATTAAAATTAAGCTTATTTTTCATCTTGATGCTTTTTAAATGTACAAGCGGTCATGTTAAAGAACATTATACAGTATTGACAATGTATCATTTACTGGGAGAAAGCAGAGGAGGCTCGTATAGTCCCCCCCCCCAAAAAAAAAGATATCAGTCTAATTTTAAAACTGGAGCAAGAGAGAGAAAGAGAGAGAGAGAGAGAGAGATCTTATATCATCATGGAGGGGGAAATATAGATTACATTATTTATTTGGGAAGAGAAGACTGGCTGATCAGTGGCAGCGTTTCAAGCTGTTAGCTTTGATTTCACATCCTGAAGGCAGGAATTCACATCACCACAGAGGCATATAATTGCAAAGGATTGCTTGGTTGAGTTGAATACAGTTAACTTGTTTCCAATTTTCTTGTCCTTGGAAATAAAAGCAGTCTCCTGTTGCATATAATGAAAACCACTGTGAACTTTGCCCTTCACAGTTTACCTAAGAGAAACGTTCAAAAGTGTTTACTTCGCAGGAAAATCAAAATTCCTTCAGAACACCGTGTATATGGTTGACCATACAGAAAAGAGAATTGCAAGAATACTGGTATAACGTGTCCTTCACACTGTGCTTTCCCAACCCATGACTACTCCACCTCAACTTGTTCTGCAGAAGATATGCATGCTCTCTAGTAAATCAGGAGGGTTTACATACCCACATGTATTTTCGAGACATCATAACACAGTGTCTCCACGCACCAGTGCTCCCCAGGACACAGTCCTTTGGTATCTGCTAAGCTACTGTTGCCACCCCCCCCCTTTTTTTTTTTTTTTGCAATTCACATGGTTTCTTACTGGTACCTGGGAATCCTATACAATAGGGTCCCGCAGGTGCTGAGAAAGGTGAAGTGACAGGATGTATTTAGTACATCAGACCCCAGTTCTGTCTTGTACTCAGTATTTTAGGAAAGTTATTTGACCTTTACCTTCCTACCTATAGCTGCCATTTTGTCCTATAATTTTTATGTATGTCTGTGTTCATTTGAGCTTGGTTTAGCCAGCTTAGCAGTGGCTTTCTGAATCCCAGTTTAGGCAGCCACAGGGGGATCCTTCAAAGTGCCCTTACTTCTTGGAGAAGCTTCCAGTGTTTACCCAAGATATTTTTGCTACCATTAAAATAAGTTATTTGTTTTATAACAATGTTATTTCAAGTGATTTGGGCTCCATTTAAATGTGGGGTGTGCACAAAACTTTGGTGGCTTTTTAGTTGGACATGGGTGAATTATGAATCCGCTCAAAAAGCTTTGACAGTGAACTTCCAACTCAGTTTTCCTGTTTTTAAAAAAATACGGTAATGCACTTTTAGCCTTTTTCTCAGCCCCAGGAAAAAGCACAAAAGTAGATCCTACATAGACACTAAATGAGGGACTTGAAGCAGAAAGAAATTATCTCCAACACCCCTTTTTTTGCTGAACGAAAGCTTGGGTTTCTTCTGCTAAAGAAAGGCTTGCTTTATTTTTTTCTTCTACTAAAAATTGCTTGTAAAGAGGAAGAGGGATT